TGGAGCTGCTCGTCCGGACCAAGATGAGCTGTACTTTCCAAAGCATGATCGTCTCCGCTGGCATCTGGACCGTCGTGTTCGTTGGGGAGGAAAAAGCCGTCTCCACCACCGAAATGGAAATCGGGATCCGCTGGATGTGCTGGGGCCAAGAGGACCTTCCCGTCACTGCTGTTACTCGTGCTACTCTCAACGCTGACGGTGATGTTCTGCGGGTCTACGATGACGTGGTTTTCGAAGTGCTGTTTGAATTCATTTCTCTCGATCGGTTCGTGAGAAATGTCTTTGCTCGTCTTTGGGAGGTAAGAATTTTCCTCTGGTAGGTAAGTGTTTTCCTGATTTGACTGAGGCAAATCTGCACTTTCCTTATCTGTGCGGGAGATGTTAGCATTGTCCTCATGTAGTTGAGGCAGGTAAGCATTCTCCTCATTCGGCTGTGGTAAGTAAGCATTTTCCTCACCAGGTTGAGGCAGGTAGGCATTCTCCTCACCTGGTTGAGGCAGGTAGGCATTCTCCTCACCTGGTTGAGGCAGGTAAGCATTCTCCTCACCTGGTTGAGGCAGGTAGGCATTCTCCTCACCTGGTTGAGGCAGGTAGGCATTCTCCTCATTAGGCTGGGCCAGAGCAGAACCTTCCTCATTGCTGATATGGACATTAATGAATGGATTAGTGCCATTGGTTGTAACATCCAAATGAGATTTTTCCTCATCAAAGTGCAGATGAGAGTGTTCCTCATTAATATGTACATGAGAATCTTGCTCATTGGCGTGTGGAGAAAAAACGTTTCCATCAACAGTCATTAAATGAAGATTCCTTTCATCCGTCCTTGTTATGTTAGCATTTTCTCCATCCATTTGAGTGATGGATGAATCTGGGTGAGCAATGCTCTCACTGATAAAGAAGTGAGAATTTTCCTCACTTGGAAGATGGTCATTTTCACTTGTATTAAAGAGATGAGAATTTCCCTCAATGGAAAATGGGTCTACAGCTGCTCCACCCGGAAGCAATGTATGGGAATTCTCACTTACATTAAAAAGATGGAAATCTTCCTCATGATGAACAAGATTTCCATCTTCCTCGTGGTTGAAGAGATTCAAATTTTCCTCAGGATTCATTGGATTCAAACTTTCCTCATCTGCAGTAAAATTATTGAAGATTTCCCCTTGTCTCTGGTCCAAATGAGCACTTCCTTCTGTCTCATGATGTAAATGTGCCTCAGTGCCATTTGTCTGATGGGCGTTCTCTGCATTCAATTCGGTAAGGTTAAAGTGTTCTTCCTCTGCATTCGTTTCGAAATTCGTTCTTTCACCCTCCACCTGTGTGAAGTTGGAATCAAGAGCACCTGGTTGAGGAATTTCATCATCAGGATTGTCCACGTGGGATTCAACGTGCACGCTTGTCGAATGGGATACTGCCTCGTTTTCACTTGGCAAATATGGGTTCCCTTCACTGTCATAAACCTGGTGACTGCTGCTATGGGTGACACTTTGCACAGTTTGTGTAACATTAGTTGCAAATTCTGGAGATAATGTGTGTTCTCCTTGAGGTAAAGGTGTTGAAAAGTTGGAATTGCTTTCACCAACAAGAGGCGGTTCAGAGGCATTTTGGAAATGTAGCCCGAGGTCTGATGCTTCATTCAGCTGAGGATTAATATCAAGTGTAAAGTTCTCATTACCAACGGGGCCTTCAAGCGTGATTAAATTCCCATGCTCTGTCGTTAGTGATGGGTCCTCCCACTGGGTAGTATGCTGAAGATCTACAGCTTGGCCCCCTTCCATTGCTGCTTGGTGGTCGTGAGGAATGAGGGAATTCAAGGCAAGGTGCTGATGAGAGCTGTCTTTCTGCTCGAACTGATGCTCTTGCTGGCTGGCGAGATCTTCCTCCAGGAGAGGATGAGGATTAGGCACTGGGGTGAAGGGAAAACCTTCTCCTGACAGCTGAATGCTGGAAGGGTCATCCATCCCTGTTTGGTTAAGCTTTGTTAATATGTTATTCATAATGTACACAAAGTAAGACTGACGTTCTCAGACATGTTCCTGGAAAAGGGATGGAAATGCATAGTGGAAAGGTGCAACATCGACTTTCAGAACAGGTCAACTGGTCATTAAGGCCTGAATTACCTATGTCCACCTGTGTTATGTGTCCATTTGATCCTGTTTCTTCAATAGACAAGGTAGTACCTTTGCTATACAGCATCTACTCATACAATAAAACAAACAGTGGAATCGTATATCTAAAGATACATGTTTTATGATTTAAATCAAGCTTCATCAGCAAGTGTCAGTCTTTCCACTGTCAAAAAACTTGCTCTGCAACTTTCTTACCTATTATCAAACACACACACACACACACACACACACACACACGTTTACTATCTTTCTTTCATGCATACTGTATTCACTGTAGCTCACAATCTTTAGTTACATAGGCTTACATGAATACATGCATTTGATGCGCATGCAAATGAAAAATCTTCTGATATTTAATTAATCATATTTTCATGCTTCGAGACTGGTTTTCAGACAGAAAACACACTTTTCATGCGTTATAAACTAGTATAAACGAATCTCATGCACATATGGAATCACATCCTCAGTGAATTTTAACTGTTTACTTACCCAGATCAGCGGGGCCGTCCAGCAGCTGCACCTTGGCCGTGGAACTGACCGAGTCGTCGAAGGCAACACGGAACTGGTAGGCTGTGGATGGCTGTAGCTCCCCGACTGTCACATACATGTCGTTGGGGTTTCGTACCCTGATGTTCTCGGAGGTAATGTTCTTCTTGGACCAAGTGAGGGAGTCGGGGCTGTACAGGACGATTAGGAAAGGTTTCCTGGTCCAAGCTTCGAGCATGGCATCGGATACAGCCAGGTGGATCTCTGCGGCTGTGGCATTGATGGCCATCACTTCCAGGATATCCAAGTCGTAGTTGCCTTCGTCATTTGCTCTGCTCTTCTTCTCCAGAATTTTTGGGTCGGGGTGGGCATGCATCTCAATGCCTTCATGCTTGTGGACGTGCTCAAGGTCGCCGTGCGCGTGGCTGTGGTTGGTGCCATCCCCATGAACGTGCCAGCCATGGTCGTGTGCCATGTTGCCATCTTCCTCGGCGTGCCATATGATTTCTCCATCAGCGGTGTGGCTATGTGGCTTATCACCATGAGGATGACTGTGGTTAGTACCATCTTCATGGACGTGCCATATGTCTTCTCCTTCGTGTGTGTGTCCCATGCTACCATGAGAATGACTGTGATTGGTACCGTCTTCATGGACATGCCAATCACCTGCTCCATGGGTGTGTGCCATGTTGTTATCGTCTTCACCGTGCCAAATGATGTCTCCATCAGCGGTGTGGCTATGAGGTTTATCGCCATGGGGGTGACTGTGGTTAGTGCCATCTTCGTGAACGTGCCACACAGCTTCTCCTTCATGAGCGTGGTCCATGCTGCCATGTGCATGAGAGTGATTTGTTCCATCTTCATGAACATGCCATTCATTTTCCCCATGAGTGTGTGGCATACTGCCGTGGGCATGACTGTGATTGGTGCCGTCCTCATGGACATGCCAATCACCTGCTCCATGGGTGTGTGCCATGTTGTTTTCCTCTTCACCGTGCCAAATGATTTCTCCATCAGCGGTGTGGCTATGAGGTTTATCGCCAAGTGGGTGACTGTGGTTGGTGCCATCTTCATGAACGTGCCATATATCTTCTCCTTCATGATTGTGTTCCATGTTGCCATGTGCATGAGAGTGATTTGTTCCATCTTCATGAACATGCCAGTCATTTTCTCCATGTGTGTGTGGCATATTGCCATGTGCATGACTATGATTTGTTCCATCTTTATTGTGCCAGATGATTCCACCATCAGCGGTGTGGCTGTGTGCCTTATCACCTTGTGGGTGGCTGTGATTTGTTCCATCTTCATGGACGTGCCACACAGCTTCTCCCTCATGAGTATGGTCCATGTTGCCATGCGAATGGCTGTGGTTGGTGCCATCTTCATGAACATGCCAGTCATTTGCTCCATGGGTGTGTGCCATGTTGTTTTCCTCTTTACTGTGCCATACGATTTCTCCATCAGCGGTGTGGCTATGTGGTTTATCGCCAAGTGGGTGACTGTGGTTGGTGCCATCTTCATGAACATGCCATATGTCTTCTCCATCATGAGTGTGTTCCATGCTGCCATGCGCATGAGTGTGATTTGTTCCATCTTCGTGAATGTGCCAATCATTTCCTCCCTCGTGAGTGTGTTCCATGTTGCCATGTGGGTGACTGTGATTGGTACCATCTTCGTGAACGTGCCAATCGCCATCATGAGTGTGTGCTAAACTGTCATGTGCATGGCTGTGATTCGTACCATCCTCATGAATATGCCATCCGATTCCTCCATCGGCTGTGTGGCTGTGTTCCATATTTCCATGGGCGTGGCTGTGGTTTGTACCATCCTCATGTACATGCCAATGTACAGCTTCCACTCCTTCTCCATGTGTGTGGTTATGTTCCTCTCCCATGTGGTCATGTGGATGGCTATGACTTGTTCCATCCTCATGAGTGTGGAAGTGTGCATGTTCTGCATTGTCCTCATGCGTGTGATTATGAGCACCGTCCATATCGTGGTCATGGCCATGCGAATGAGTGGTTCCGTCCTCATGCACGTGGATGTGATTGTGGGCATTCTTCTCCATGGCAGTCTTGTTCTTCATCATCATTTCCATTTCCACCTCCGTCATGTTCTTCTTCATCATGTCTCTTTCCAAGTCCATAATGTTCTTCATCATCATTTCCTTCTCCGTCTCTGACATGGTCTTGTTCATCATCTTCCTTTCGGCCTCCGTCATGTTGACCAGCATTTCCCTCTCTTCAGCTGTCATGTTATTAATCATGATCTCCTTGTCTACTTCTGTCATGTTCTTCATCATTTCCTTCATCGTCATCACCTTTTCAATGCCGGTCATGTTCTCCATCAACATTTTTCGTTCTTCATCTGAAAGGGGAACACGTTTTTTAAGTCGTCTTAAAATTATTAAGTCATGTTTAGAGCTAAGTGCATTCAAAGAAAAAAATAAAAAAAGGAAAAAAATATTAGCCAACTCAATATAGGTTTCATACAAAAGATCAAAAATGCAACCCCAGCTAAAATAAACTATAATACAGACAACTAAACAGAAGACATTACTCAAAATATAGTATGCAGATCAACAAAACACAAGACATAACTCAAAATACTGTGTATATTTCACCTTAACACACATCTCAAACTGCACCATACAGATCCAATTACAAATAAGACACAACTCAACCTCCACAACCACGGACTACAGATCTAATCCGATACAAGAATCACAAACCCCATAGAGTCAAGTACCTGTGAGGTTGGCCTTCATGACATCCGGGGTCTCCTCATCGCACACCGTAATAGAACAACAGGGGTCCAGGGGGTCCGGCAGAGTCTGGCACTTCTTGGGGGTCTCGGACACAACCTTGAGTGGTGGACATCTGCAAATGGTTGAATAATACTGGTAACTTTTCCTTCTGAACGGGATGAATTTGGTAATGTGACTGTGTTAAATGGTGGATGTAGATATTAAGGTATAAGGTTTTGCTATTTGTGCGAATGGTATAGGAAGTGATGTGAAGGTTTTTTATTATATCAACGGTTTAATGAAGCACTATTTTTGTCTTATCTTTTCTTTCTAATCATAGGATATACACAAGAACACTGTAAACAATGTCTGCACGCTCACCTTGGCACGCAAGAGATATCACCGAAGCCCATGCAGGTACACTGCGTCTCACAGCCATTATAGAACCTCTCATTCATAGCGTAAGTGATGTTGCCTTCGGTGCACCCATTGGACGGTAGGGAGGGAGCCCGCGCAGCATCGGTGGCCGCTTCGGAGGTGGAATTGCAGACGCGCAGCTTGCAACACGAGTCTTTGGGGTCAGGGAGGTATTCACAGCCGGGCTCCGTTTCCGACCCGTCCTCGTGGGGAAATTCGCATCGAGGCTGTTGGGAGACATAGGTTAAAAAGAGTCTTAAGTTCAACCTACATCACTACATCTTCAAATCTTCAAAACCATTCGACAGTCTTCACTAAATCTCCAAAACAAAAACTGATAAGGCGAAAACTGAATGTCTAAAAGCCAACGCACCTCGCACTCAATTTCTGTGTTGTTGTTGCAAGAGCAGCGGTATTCACACTCATCAAAGAAAACATCGCCTGGCCTGTAGGTCGTGTTCTTGAAGGTGCAGCTGCCCTCCTTGCGGTTCGTGTCTGTTCATCAGGGTATAAGGGAGAGGTAACAAGTTTGAGAAGAACGAAGATTACTGTGGCATGTCTGTCACGTCCATGTGTTTGGATGAGTAAATGTAGTTTAATTTGCCCTTAGAATATCATTTCCTATAAAAATATATTGTTTTATATGTAAATACGAGCATAAGAGCAAAGCCAACAAGAAAATAAATTTAGTACTACATGCATCCTCATTCAACTACCCTCAATTACTTGATTACAAATCAAATACAAAAAAAAGGTGAAAAAATCCTCCCGAGAAGCTATCCTCAACACAACCCACAGTCCTGAATCCCGCAATAAAATCCTGCCACGCACCTAGGACACATCCAATATCCAGGTCCGAAGCATCCCCGACGTAACCTGGGAGACAGCGACAGTAGCCGAAGGAGAGGTTGCTGCCTCCTGCTGCCGGGTCGTCCGAGGTCATTGAGTCGGCTCCGCATTCAGCATTGGGTCCGCAGACCATGTTCGTGCACGGTTCATAGGCTGGCGAGGGGGGGAGGGAATTAAACATGGGAGGGAGTGGAGATTCCTCCTCTGTTGGTCAAGTTGTAGAGAAAATAACCCAGAGAAAACAGGAGAACGCACAAATGCGCATATTCGTGTATTTTCATGTCCCTGCACATTCGCACGGACTGGAAAACACACAAATATGCATATTCGTGTGTTTTTCTACTGTCCCCTTCGACAACTAATGACAACTTATTCAGTAAGAATCCTTCACACGGCGTCAAATACCTTACCATACATCACAAAGAATATAATGACTGCATACACGCACTCAATATCCACCCCTGAAATTCACAACCAACGAAGGAAATTTTACGTTCAAACCTCCAAGAAAAAGAAAAACGAGAGAGAACAAAAAAAAAAAGGTCCTTACGTAGATCGGCGAGAGCAAAATTGGTGGTGTTGGTGGCACAGCGAACGATGACGCAACAGCTGTCCCGTTCAGCTGGTTGTTCTCGGCACAGGGCGTCTCCGCTGAACTCCCCTTTTCTGGAAGTAACGTTTCCTATTAAAATCCTGTGGTGCTTTACGGGACATGTGCCTTCACCCGCATAAATAAATGTACTTTTGTGACAATACCTTTAAAGAACTACACACTTCTTATCATTATCACTATCCTTGTTATCGCAATTATAATCATCATAATCATTATTACTATTGTTCTCATTGCCATTACTATCAATGCCATTATCATTATCACATCGTTATAATTATCATCATTATCATCATCATCACTGTTCTCACGGATATCGCTTTCACCCCAGCTGCTACTCTCATCACCCATAGACGAGAAACACTTACTTGAAATAGGGCAAAGTGCACCGCTGGAAGCACTTGACATCGCCGGACGCGTGGCAGGTGCACCGTTCCTCGCAGCCGATGAAGAATTCTCCCAAAGCATGAGACGAGTTGCCGTAGACGCAGCCAACTGAGGGAAAAATAAAAGCATTACATTCACGACACAGCCAACCGAGAAATAAATCAAAGCACTGCATTCACACAACCATAAGTCAAAAAGGGGTAATTGAAAACTAATTTGTCACTATCACAGCGCGTCTTGCAACAACCTCTTCAAAAGTAAACAAAGGAATATCATCTCTTACGCTACAACAGCGCGTCTAACAACAACTTCAAAAGTAAACAAAAGAACATAATTCCATGGCGCTATCGGAGTGAGGTCCCGGGAATCACACGAACATTCTCATACATATTACGTTATTTTAAAGAAATGTGATGATGTATATTGTATATACGAATGTTCTAAAATATTAACTTATGTTTACATTCACTCATCCTATCTAATTTATTAAGAGCACAAGATCAACACGGAAATCAGTCAGACGGAAACGGTCGTAACCGTCTTGGTCTGGGAGGCGTTCCGTTTGTAGACGATCCTTGCGGAAAGCCTCGAATTCAGACGGAACCCCAGAAATGGACGGAAAAAGTGCTAGTGTGACAGGGCCTTAACAACAACCTCCTCAACAGTGAAAAAAGGCGCTTACATTCAGTCCGAACAGTGAGGGTCTCGGTGGTGTCAGCCAGGCGCCCGTTCTCTACCTCATCATAGATGGACACTCGCACCTGTAGAGAAATGACATCGCATTAGAATCGTCGAGGGAAGAATACAAAACAATGGACCCTTCTCGCATCACGTGGAGGTTGCACAACGTCGTAGTTTAAGAAGAGGGCGCCATTTTATTACGGAGTATTTAACAGGAGTATTGCTGCTCCAACTTCTATTGATGCGAGCCAAAGTACCTCGTGGCTCTTATATCTTAGAAGATCTTAAAGAAACCCACAGATCTTAAAGAAAATCAAAGAAACCCACAGATCTTAAGTCAGATCTTAAAGAAACCCCTTAAAGAAAAACAGATCTTACAGATCTTTCAGATCTTATCTTAAGAAACCCACAGATCACAGATCTTAAAGAAACCCACAGATCTTAAAGAAAACAGATCTTAAAGAAACCACAGATCTTAAAGAAATCAGATCAGATCTTCAGATCTTAAAGAAACCCCACAGATTTACAGATCTTAAAGAAACCCACAGATCTTAAAGAAAAGAAAAAGAAAGCCCCGGATAAATAACCCACAAAAAAGAAACCCACAAGATCTTAAAAAGAAACCACCCTTAAAGAAACAAGATCTTAAAAAGAAAAAAGAAACCCCAGACCCTTAAACAGAAAGAAAAAGCAACAGAACAGAAAAAAGAAAAAAAAACAAATACCTTAAAACAGAAACCCACAGACCCTTTAAAAACAAAAAAAAAAAACAAAATACCTGGTACAATGTATTCGGCTTGAGGTCCTCGATCGTGACGGAAGTGAGGCTGGGGGGAGTGGCACCCACTGGCACGATCTTCTTCATCCACGGCTCCTTCTCGCTCGCCTCGCCTCCCTCCACCTCGCGGTACTCGGCGACGTAGCCCTCCTCCACTGCCCTGGCCCTGGGGGAGGAGGGAGCAGGTAGGGGGGTTAAATACAGGTTGGGGAAGGGGGGATCTTTTCTGGGGGTTAAATACGGGTTGGGGAAGGGGGGGGTCTTTTCTGGGGGTAAAAGTCTGGTAGGGAGAGGGAGGGGGTCTTTTTTTTGCTTTTTCTTTTTTTTTTTTTTTTTTTTAGGAGGGGAAGACAAAAAATAGAGAATGGGAAAGACAAACACGATGACAGAGGCAGAGATTGAGAAAAATAGAGAAAAAACAAGAGAAAAGCAAATAAAAAGAAAAACAAGAACACAAATAAAAGAGAAAGACGCAGACAAAGACCTACATTTTTAACAAACACAAACAGACACCACGAACAGAGATCGAGAAAGAAAACACATAATAAACACACAGACAAACATAAAGAGATACAAATAGAGACCACAGACAGAGACCGAGAAAAAATAGATAAAATAAAACAAAAAACACGAAAAAAATCAGACAGACTTATAGACAAAGAAAAACACATACACACACAATCAAATAACACTACAGATATACACACACATAATCAAATAAAAAACACAAAACATAAAAAAACACGCATGCAAATATAAGACACACAAAACATAACAAATAACAGACGTATACAAATAAAAGACACAAAACATAAACAAAAACACACATGCAAATAAAACATACAAAAACAAAAACACCCACGCAATCAAATAAAAGGCACTTAAAACATAAAAAACACGCATACAAACAAAAGACACACAAAACATAAAAAACACCCACACAATCAAACAAAACACACACAAAACATACAAACACCCACACAATCAAACAAAACATTACAAAACCACCCACACAATACAAAAAACAAAACAACACACACAAACAAAAACACACAAACACAATCAACACACACAAAAACATACAAAACCACCCACACAATCAAACAAAACACCCACAAAACATTACAAAACCACCCACGCAATCAAACACCACCACAGCACCCCGCCCCGACGTACCTGAAATCATCCCAAGCAAGTGTCACCGAGCTGTGGGTCTTGGAAGTGACCAGCAGCTTGGGCAACCCCGCGGCGGCCTTCTGGCTTGTCGGGGAAGGCAACACGGAGGTCTCTCCTGAAGAAGGTCACGGGGTATGGTTAGGGCAAGGTGGCTGGTGTGGCCTGGTGTGGCCGGGTGTATGTTGTGTTTTTTATTGCGAAATAGGAAGGGCAGTGGAATGTTTATAATGCATAGGATTAACGTGAAATGTTATATAAAGTATATAATGTAAATAAAGTATATAACGTAAGTATATAAAGTATATAAGTTAAGTATATAAAGTAAAGTCAAGTATATAATGCGTTTACTACAAATTCGGAGGGCAGTTGGAATTATAAATCTATATAGTGTATTTACTACATTTGGACATACTTAACGTGGAAGTCAATTGAATATATATTGTATTTACGAAAATTGGGGATATGAAGAAAAATAAGATGTTTAGATTATTCCTTTTATCCGTTCCATCGAAAAAAAGAAAAGAAAGAAAAAAGAAAAAAGTCAAAGCCATTTATCTATATGGACATCCATCTTTATCCATCTAATCCACCTATCTGTCTATAAATCCCATCCATCTATGTCTATCTATCAATCTTTCTGTCTATCTGTCAAAACTCTAGCGCGACTCTAAATCCTGGATCAACACCACTCCAGAGTCGACCAGGTGTGGTGGTGACAGGAGTGGTGTTGAGGTGTTACACTGTCGTTTGGGGTGGTGATGAAGTGAGAGGTGGTGACTGGTGTTGGTAATAACTGTGGTGTTGAGGTGAGGCACCGGTAGTGGTGATGGCAATGCGGTGTTGAAGTGCGGCGCTATTTGAGGTAGTTGGGTGGTGAAGATGCGAATGCCGGTTAGAGAAAAAAAAATGGTGTTGATGTGGTGATGCTGATTAGCCCGGAACATTCGAGAATTGTGATGACACGGGCTACGGCGTTGATAGACACTAGTGGTGGTGATGATGTGCAAAAAGATGGTGATGATGGCGGTGGTGTTGAGGTGCGGCGCGAGCGTTGGGTGGGTGGGTGAGTGAGCTGGGTCTGTGCTGCTCAAGGACACACCGGCAGTACTGGTGGTGATGATGATGATGATGACCCACGCATGCCTGCCTTACCCGGCAACGTACGTGCGTGTGTGTGTGTGTGTGTGTGTGTGTGTGTGTGTGTGTGTGTGTGTGTGTGTGTGTGTGTGTGTGTGTGTGTGTGTGTGTGTGTGTGTGTGTGTGTGTGTGTGTGTGTGTGTGTACCAGATACCATTATTTTCTCCAATTTCTCCCTCTCTCTCCCTCTTTTATCACCCCCCTGCACTTCTACCGCCTATACCCCCCTCCCACCCCTCTCTCCCTCCCCTTCTTCCCTCCGCGCCTCTCTCCGTCCATCCCTCTTCCTATCTTCGCTCCCACAACCTTGATCCCTGACCCTACGTCGAGCGTCCTAACTCCTACCTACCGCCTACTCTCCCCTACCTCCTCTCTCTATCCTCCCTTTTCTTTTCCTTCTCCCCTTCCTTCGCCTCTCTACTACTCTTCGTCCCTTCTATCCTTCTATCCTCCTCATACCTACTCATCCCTAATCTTCTATCCTCCTCTACATCTGTCGACCTACGTCCCTTCGTCCTACCTCCTACCTACATCTTCGCCCTGTGACTTCTATCCCTAGCCGCCCTTCGTCTGTGACTTCTACCTTCTAACTCTACATTCTTTTCTTCGCCTCTCCTCCTACCTACATCTTCGTCCTGTGACTTCTATCCTTCTATCCTCCATTGTTTCCTTCGCCTCTCCTTCTCCCTTATTCTTTCATCTTATGACCTTTTTTTTTCCTTCCTTTTATTCTTGTTTCGCCTCTCCATCTCCCTATTCTTTCATCCTATGACTTTTCTCCTTTCTTCTTTCCTTTTTTTCCTTTCACTTCTCTCATCAAAAAGAAAATAATGATAATAAATGAATATAATGAAATATATCAATAATAAATAAATAAACAAATAAATAAATAAAAAAAAACCACGTGGTTTCTTAATCTATTTTTAGAAATCATCAACACAGAAGACTCCACCTTCCTTCCTTCCTTCCTTCACCTCTTCTTCGAAACTTTTCCTTTTTTTCCATTTATTCATTATTTTACTTCTTTATCGCTCACTTACCTGTTATCATTCTCTCCTTTTATTCTTCTCTTTCTTATAATTACTTCTCTTAATTCTTGCCTTTCTT